GTGGCACACGAGCTTAGTTGCTCCGCAGCGTGTGGGATCCTCCTGGAGCAGGGATTGAACCCGTGTGCCCTGCATTGGCAGGCGGATTCTTAACCACTGCATCATCAGGGAAGTCCCTAAACCTTCTGTTTTAACTGGCTTTCTATGACACTGCTCCATCAGGGGAAGGTCGGAGGGTGGAGGGCACCACATTTCATTACTGGCAAGTGGAGGGAGAAGTCCAAGTTTCCCGGTTGGCCTTCAGTGACACTTGAAGGAGGGGTCCTCATTACCGCTGGGTGGAGGTGGGAGTACAGGCTGACTGACAATGCACTGAGGGTAGCCTTGTCACCTGCTGGGTGATGGTCAAAGATATAACTCTCCAATACACCTCTTCTGACACAACCTCATTACTGCTGGGTGGGGATGAAAGTCCAGGCTCTCCACTGACACACTGTGGGGGTAGGTGGGAAGAGAAGGCTCACAACCACTGAAAAGGGAAGAAGTGCCAGCTCTCTGCTTGGTCTTTCTTGATACCACAGTGTGGTGGTGTTGAGGTACCCTGTTACAATCTCATGAGGGTGGACTTCTAGGTTCTCCATTCAGCCTCTTCAGGCCTGGCTAGGGGTAGTGCCACACTTTTTCTGTGGTATTTGACTAAACTAGAGCAGATACTGTCTAAAAGTGTTCTGTCTTGCCAGGCTGTTCTATTCCTGGTCCTTTCGCTAGAAAGAGCAGGTCCTTGTCAGACTGCGTGTTTGTGTGTGTGTACATGCGCTTGTTGATGTCTGCAAGCTACTGACTTATCCAGTACTCAGTGTCAGATATAAAGCAACCAGAAAATCCAAGAAACCCACCACCATGCCATTCTTAAGGTCCTGAAGTCCCTAGACTTCTTCTCCCTACCTTTCAGAGTCTTGTGTTTTATAGGTCCAGGGTTTTGGGTTATAGTAAGTGGGAGAAATAGGGGAAAGTATGTTCACTTTATCTTCCCAGAAGTAGAATTTCAATTTTATAGCCACCTCATCTATCTCTAAAGTGAATGATGAAGAAAATAATACTTCATTTATTACTTTCAAACTTGATCTCAGGCAACTAATTTAGAGAATCTAAAACAAAAAACAAGCAATTTTTTAAAAGCCTTGGGATTTTACTTGGTCTTAATTTCAATGTGAACGAAAGTGTGATGGGGGAATCAAAAAGTCACTGTAATCTCAAATTACAGAAGTTAGCCTATCTGAAGCACTTTACTCAGCTTTGAGTACCACATTTTAAGATCTCAGTAAACCAGTGATAAACCAGAAGAGTAACTAAGACTATAGTGGTTCCAGAAGATTGAAATAACTAGAGATACTTTACCTGGAAGAAAGAAAAAGGGTAACTAAGGAGAAAGGATTATAGAATAGCAATCTTTTAATATTTATGAGGCTCACAATTTTAAAAAGAGGCAGAAAAGCACAGTCAGATAAGTTGGCTTCTTATACATAAGAATTTTCTAACAATCTAAACTGCCCCAAAATTGATGGTCCTACTTTACTGTCCTAAGTTCCCCAATATCAGAAGTATTAAAACAAAGACTGTATGTCCACAGGTTGGAAATATCATTGAGTGGATGGCTTCAGTAGGAAGGAAACTGGAGTAGTGATTTTTAAGCTATGATTCACAGCGCTGCCTGAAGTGGTGCTGTGGAACTGGGGTGTGACAGCTGCCGAGCTGACAAAATGCCCGATTTCCCTACTCAGCTTCAACCAGACCTTCCACTTACATGTCTAGCATCAGCAGTGTCTTTTATTAGGGGAGGTGGGAGTGGGCTGGAGAGAAGGATTATGCTTTAAAGTAAAAGTCCAAAAATGACTGAACTGAAGACATGAACTAAGGCCTCTTTGAATTTTATATTCTGTGATTAATTCTTTCTTTTCCTTTTTTAAAGGAAATAGTTATTATTATTTTTAACATCCTTATTGGAGTATAACTGCTTTACAATGGTGTGTTAGTTTCTGCTGTATAACAAAGTGAATCAGCTATACATAAACATATATCTCTTCCCTCTTGCATCTCCCTCCCGCCCTCCCTATGCCACCCCTCTAGGTGGTCACAAAGCACCGAGCTGATCTCCCTGTGCTATGCGGCTGCTTCCCACTAGCTGTCTATTTGACATTTGGTGGTGTATTAATTCTTGGTTCTCAAATATAGTCCAGAAAAGTAAGATCATCATCTTATTAAGGAATTACTGCAAACAAGATTAATATATGTGATTTTAAAAGCCTTCTTTTTTTTCAATAATGGGGCTGTTAAAATGAATGAAGCTCTCCCCGTTACCTGTGTCAGCACAGCCTACATTGTGTCTGGGGATGAATTTTGGTTTTCTCTGAAAAAAATTGATAAATCAAACACCCTTTTATTTCAAAAATAAAAAGTGGCTAGAGAAAAGTAAATCTTATAAACCCATGAAGTTATACATTTTAAATTTGTACTTCTATCAAGAAAAACATTGAAAAAATGAGTTGTTATAATAACTAAATTTTGGGCTTCCCTGGTAGCGCAGTGGTTGAGAGTCCACCTGTCGATGCAGTGGACACGGGTTCGTGCCCAGTCCGGGAAGGTCCCACGTGCTGCGGAGCGGCTGGGCTCGTGAGCCATGGCCGCTGAGCCTGCGCATCTGCAGCCTGTGCTCCACAACGGGAGAGGCCACAACAGTGAGAGGCCCACGTACCGCAAAAAAATAATAAAAAATAACTAAATTTTAAGTGAACACACTGTACTATTGAAATAATTATATAACTCCTCAGGACTTCCCTGGTGGTCCAGTGGGTAAGACTCCATGCTCCCAATGTAGGGGGCCTGGGTTCAATCCCTGCTCGGGGAACTAGATCCCACATGCATGCCACAAATAAGAGTTCGCATGCCGCAACTAAGAGTATGCATGCCACAACTAAACATGCCGCAAAGAAGATCCCGCCTGCTGCAACTAAGACCCGGCGCAGCCAAAATAAATATTTAAAAAACCAAAAAACCCAAACAAAAAATCCTCCCAAATAATTATATAACTTCTCCAAAAGTAAAAGCAATTTATTACATATTAGAATACCAAAAAATGGGCAATATTATATGAAGTTTCTAGACACTTGAATCTTTAATAAACTACTTCATCTTGAGAGTTACAGATCATTTCATAATTCATATCTATAGTAATAACAGTGACCACCATAGTTGGCCTATAGGAACTTTTTTTTTATTTAAAAATTTTTAAATTTATTTCTAAAATGTGGGATCTTAGTTCCCCCACCAAGGATCGAACCCGTGCCCCCTGCAGTGGAAGTGTGGAGTATTAACCACTGCACCACCAAGGAAGTCCCAACAGGTACTTTTTTTAAAAAGCATGTTTTGAATTATTAATCTTACCTAGCTTAAAAAATTCACACAAACCTCATTGGATCATCTTTCTTATTGTCTTACTGTCATACTCGTGGAATTCTTATCCATAAATCAACTAGAGATTCTATTCTCAACACAGTAGTTCACTGGCTTCTCAGAAATAACATTCATGGTGATGAAGTAAGTCTAAAGGCCTATGATCTGTATTTTGCTGAGGCATGACTCAGAAGATGGCACACAGGCGTGCAGGAGGGGTCCACTTATGCGGTAGTTAGTCAACCCCGTAACTCAGTACGGCTATATCAACATGGTCTAATTGTTTTCTGTTACAGTTGTTTACGTATTTTGTGAGCGAATTAAATGCTAAATGGTACACCAAATCAAGGGAATTGAGGTCTTATGATAAAACCCTTGGAACATTAGGGTACATCAAGCTCTGCTGTACTTGATGTGTTTTAAAGTATTATTTATAAAATTATGTATAAAATTTTAAAATACAATCACCACACAATATAGTAACCATGACAATATTTCAAAATACTTTCAGATGCTCTGCGTTCATAAAAACTTATTTTCTCATAAAAGGTAACACACTAATGACAGAAATTTTAGAAAATACAGAACAGCAAAATAAGAAAAATAAATAACCCTTTAAAAATACAGAACAACAAACTTTTAACAGAAAAGCACCAGCGATTTTTATGGATCTCATTTTAAATTGCAAAGGGCTGAATGAATTCAGATTTTGTTTCCCCATTTATTAAATCCAACCATTTGTTATAAGCCCACAGGACTGCTCAACTGATGCTTTCAGCATCAAAAAGCACAAAACAGATTAACCTTCAGATTAAATTTGAGATTCTCATAAACTATATTACCACACAGGTTACTTATTTGAAACTACTATACTATTAAGATTGTAAAGATAATAAAAACTTAAGTGAAAACATCTAAGATCAAGTCTCCTTTAGGAAAACTAGATAATGGAATTGTGATAAAGTTATTATTTATTATTACTAAAATTTATACTACATAATATTTCTTGATGTTATCAGCTATATTTTACAGATGTATATTTTTAATTTAAAAATATTTTATAATTCTGAGAGAACACAACTCCCATCTTCCCTTTTAAATTTTAAGAGATTTACATTGCTGACATTAATACATTTACTGATTTATTTTTTTAAAAGTCCAGCATCTCTTTTACATAGCACTTTTTTAACCTACTTACAGCTAAAAAATTTTCAAAGATTCTGAGTTTAATGAAGAGAAGATTAAGCAAACAAACTTAATGCCTGGATGCTTCTCTGTAAACTAATTAAAATACCAACTAGTAATCTTTGAAGATGGGCTACCTTTTAATTTAAACTTTTATTTTAATTACATATAGAAAGTGATCCTGCTTCTTGTATTTGGCAATTAATATATTCAATATTTTTAATGCATCCTGGAAATGGGTATAAATCCAAGAACAGAGATTCTTTACAGGGACACAGCCAAAAGATTAGACCTTCTAAAATCAGTTTTATGTTTCTCAAGATGCTGCTTGGCTGCTACACACACCAGACTGTATGGTTTCTAAAATTTCAACCTTGTTAATATGAGAGCTGTTGGCAGAATAAATAATACATTAGCGCTATTACCTTTCAGCCGGTGACTTAGAATCTGTTCCAAAATAGCGGCAAAATTGTTAAATTCAGGAGAAGAATCATCAATTGTCTCAAAGCAGGACCGATCAATCAGGGTCTTCACAGAAAACCTATGGAAAAAAAGAGATTACGATTGCTTTTAAGTAGACTTGATTCATTCACCTAAATAGGAAAAACTAGAGGAAAGCAATTTAGAGAAGTATTACAGAAATACTTTATAAGATTATATATTCTGAAAACTCCATTTACTCAAATTCACTCTGTCAATAGAAAATTTTACAGAAATATCAGACTTTTCACTTATATATTTACTATCTGTTGACTACATTAAGCGTTAGAAATAGTTCACTGTCCACAGAACCAGTAAAATCAGAATAGAAAAGATGAATGAAATTATTAAGTTGAAAGCCATAATACTACTTGTAAGAGACTGCAGCGTCAGACCAAAATGTTTCTAAGAGTTTCGAGCACAAAATGGAATAAAACAGGTTGTGAGTATTCATGAGGTGTAGATCCCAAGTTTTTATGAGCTATAATAGGAAAACTTACAACTCTGTAAAGTGCACTATATTTTTCCTTCTCTTCAGAACGTCCTTTGTCTCTATTTTTGACTGCCAAGTACCAGTGCATTTTCCAAGACTCAGCTTAAATGCCATCTCTTCAATGAAGAATTATCCTCCTACAGATTCCTAGCACAAACTAGCATTTTGTTGGTATTTCCTTTAAGAGATGAGTACAATTTATCTTACTGCTGTTACTTGTGTGGTCTAACTCTATTTTATTAGAATATAAGTTCCTTCAGGGCAGAAACATAGCTTCTGTGTGTTTATATCTTCCTCAGCACATAGGACAATGCCTTGAACGATGTACTCTGTAAGTACTTGTTGATTTATTTGTAAGATCTATTTTGAAGGCGTGGCAAAGAAACATTTAAAGGCCAATGTCACAGCAAGACAAAAAGAAAGTTTATGATTTTTAACATGTATACCCTTCCTGTAACTACCACCAAAATCCGGATCCTGAACAGTTCTGTTGCCCCTAGCATTTCCCTCATGCTATCCCTTTATAACCATACCATCCCTTTACAGTCATAGCCTATGAAGGGTGATATGTGAGTGCCTAAGTAAAGACAATCAATAGGGTATGAAGAGAAGGGGATAACGATGAGAGTTGTTAAATCATTAGAAATGTAAACTATGAGGGAGATAAAGGAGTATAAATTGTTCCTTAGGGTTTAGGCTTATTGGCAATGCTTATTTAATCAGGACAAAAAATATAGGAGACAAGTATAAAGGCAAATATAAAGAGATTTGTTTATATGAGTTATATCTATCAACATTTACTATATTAGAACTGAGTAATGTCTAAAATACAGGCAGTCCTCCCTTTGCACATAAAAATGACTGTGTAAGCTGAAACCATGCAAAGTGATCCCAATAATCAATGGAAAGAATTACAATTATTCTGTGCCCTTTACAAATTTTTGTCAAAACATTAAAAACTCTCTCACTGCCAGTTATTATGTATAGGGAAATGGAAAAAAACAGTCAAACGTATTTATTTACTACACTGTAATTTAGAACATTAGCAATACTGAGAATTCATTTTTCTGTCCTATGCCCTTTTCATTGACAATACACTAGAAGAGTGCTGCCAATCTTCAGCAAACTTCTAATAAGAATAAATAAGTATAACGTTCTTATTCAGTAAAAGAATGAAACGCTAAGTGTTCCTAAAATGAATAAACAAAAACCATGCAGTCTCCACCTCCACCTTTGACCTAAAAAGAAGGAAACTTCTGAACGTTTCTCTCTAATCTTTAACAGATAGAACGGAATGGGAAATGTAACTCTGCAATCACACCCGAGGTAGGAGTAATCTACCACTTCAAAAAAGCATGGCATCTAAGATAGTAAGCACATAGGTGAAATGAACTGAAAACTACATTTAAAGATAAAAAATAATAGAGTGCTTATTTCATCAAAACGAGCTAGGATAGAACTCAATTTCCACCTGTAACAGCCTGGTAAGACTTTAGCCACTACTGTCCTCCAGGAATAATACAAAATTACCTAAGAAATTTTCTTCTTTGTAAATGTAACAGGAAGGAAAAGCCATGGAGAGTAACACATATATCTCTGTAGCATCAAGAGCCATGTACAGATCAATCAGTAGTCAATAAAACATGCCTTTCTATCATGTTATTAGTGCATCGTCTCCTCTAGAAGACACTATCGGCATGATGAAAATCTAAAATGGTGAACCTCAGAGCACTATATTACTTGTAACTCAGTATCTGGCTGAAAACTAAAACAAAGGTGCAAATATCCCAAAGCATATCATTAGACACAATTTCTGTTATTTCTAAGCATGAAGATATTTTAAGGGTGAGAAAGCTTTTTAAATAATTTCTATTATAACAAGGTTAATAATGAAGAAAAATAATGTTTCCCAGCATTGCTTTATCATTTATAGCCTACTCTCCTCCTGTCAACACAAATCAAAACTTCAGAAGGCAAATTCGTTCCTTAGAGTCCATGTTTTACTTCTAGCTAGCCAGGTCTTCCCACTCAACATCTACTTCTCTAGAGTCATGTGGCTAGTTCCATTATGCCAGAAGAGTGAGAAGCTTTTCCTCCATAACACAGTAACTAAGACATGCTATAAAAACCAAACCTGTAAAAAGAATTTCAATACATCCAAAAAACATCACACAGATGCTGAGCTATTTCCTGATAATGATGACAATATTAGTCATCTATTTCCCAAAAAGGACTGATTTTAAAATAATGAAATGACAATTTGATGAATGTCTAAAAATACCAAATCAAGTCTAAGTAACAGCTTTTACGTAAGAATTAAAAAGCCAAAAATTTACATGAAAGGGTCTTTTAATTAAGTGTGGTTTTTGAAGTGTCTCTCTCTTAAAAGATTTTCTTTCCCACCTTCAATGTCCAAAGGAAATTTTTGTTAGCTTAGAAATAAGAAAAAATGTGACTAAAACCATCAAACTTAAAGCAGGAACTACCTTTTTCCCTTTGGAAACATACCAAGAAAGGTGAGATGGTTACCAAAACTACGTTTAAAACAATCTTCATTACACCCATATTAATTCCTTCCACAGCTCATAAGTTTGTAATATAATTGTAACAACAAATAGTTAAAAGCAAAAAATGTGACAATAAAGTCAAAAATAAAATTACTTTTCCTTAAAAAGCTAAAAATAGAGCTACCATATGATCCTGCAATCCCATTCCTGTGCATATATCCTCAGAAAACCATAATTCAAAAAGATACATGCACTCCAATGTTCATAGCAGCACTATTTACTTGACTATTTACAACAGTCAAGACATGGAAGCAAACCAAAATGTCCATCGATGGATGGATAAAGAAGCTGTAGTATGTATATACAATGGAATATACTCAGCCATAAAAAAGAATGAAATAATGCCATTTGTAGCAACACAGATGGACCTAGAGATTATCATACTAAGTGAAGTAAGCCAGACACAGAAAGATAAATATCATATGATATTGTTTATATATGAAATTTTTAAAAAATCATACAAATGAACTTATTTACAAAACAGAAAGAGACTCACAGACATAGAAAACAAACTCACGGTTACCAAAGAGGAACAGGGGGTGGGCAAAGGGATAAATCAGGAGTTTGGGATTAACATATACACACTACTATATATAAAATAGATAATCAACAAGGACCTACTGTATAGCACAGGGAACTATACTCAATATTTTGTAATACCTATAAGGGAAAACAATCTGAAAAGTAATATGTATATATCTATATATAGATACATATACACATATATATATCTAAATATATATATATCTGAATCACTGTGCTGCACACCTGAAACTAACACAATATTGTAAATCAACTACACTTCAATAATAAAAAAAGAATTTTCTTGCAGGCCAAAATAACTTACTGTATTAAATATGTACACTCTTTACTGGAAAGAAACTATTTAAAGAATGAAAATTCACCTTTAATACTTAGGCCCTGCATTAGTAATATACACAGATATAGTCCCATATACACAGAGCAATCGAGTAGGAAAGAAATGTATTCCCATCTCTTTACAACAAGCTTATGTAATCTTAACCATTTATCAAACATGCTTCAGAAAAAAATTCATTTCACAAAAACCAGATTTTCTTATCTATATTGTTATATCCCTTTACATGGAATTATAGCTTAAGATAAGTAAAGTACATAAAAGCATACAGAATCATCACATTTCAAAACTAAAATGGGGGGCACTCCCCTGGTGGCACAGTGGTTAAGAATCTACCTGCCAATGCAGGGGACACAGGTTCGAGCCCTGGTTTGGGAAGATCCCATACACTGTGGAACAACTAAGCCAGTGAGCCACAACTACTGAGCCTGAGTTCTAGAGCCTGCGAGCCACAACTACTGACCCTGCATGACACAACTACTGAAGCCCACGTGCCTAGAGCCCGTGCTCTGTAACGAGAAGCCACCGCAGTGAGAAGCCCACGCACCGCAACAAAGAATAGCCCCCGCTCGCCACAGAGAAAGCCTGCGCGCAGCAACAAAGACCCAAAACAGCCAAAAAAAAAAAAAACCTAAACTAAAAGGGGTTCAGAAAAGTATATAGTCATTCATAAGAGTGATATTTTTTAAAAGAACATAAGTATCCAAATTGTAAGAGAGAATTCTTTCCACTACTTCACACCAAATTTACAGGATTCCTTATAATATATTATTATCACTATCAGTCTTTACCAAGGTGTGGGGGTAATGATCCTCTGCCATTAATATAATACCTACCGTTAATAATCAACAAGGAGATATGATACAATCCACCCCAAATGTAATGTAAAAGAGTGACTATGGATGATAATGAGCACAGTGTTCAGGTATATGTTCATTAGAAAGAAGGTTTATTTCTTTTCGTATATTTCACATCAGAAACCCCCCAAATCGAGAGGGCAGACAGCAGAAGCAAGAAGAACTACAATTCTGCAGCCTGTGGAAGGAAAACCACATTCACAGAAAGATAGACAAGATGAAAAGGCAGAGGACTCTGTACCACAGGAAGGAATAACATAAAACCCC